TTTCGATCATTGATTGACTCTCCATTTATCACTGAAGCTGCCTAGTGGGTTGCTAATAGAACAAGCAAAAGCATAAATATATTTTGATGAGAAAACATGTGCTTGTATCAATACTAAACGACTATGCTATAGCCCAAGGATACGGTTGAATGTGTGCTAGTGAAATATTTTTCTCGATATGCACATATGCAAAATAATCCTTTCATTTTCTTTATTTAACACAATCACTACATTACCAAGGTATTACACTCGTCATTACAACATTTATTGCATTAATATACAAGAAGTACGGGTAAATCGTTTAATATTACAGTCTCTTTCTAAAGTCCTTTTTTTATACTCAAAAAGTGAGTACACTCTAGAATCGGTCAGTATGTCCGTCCGTCCGTTCGGTCGGCCATTTACACGATAACTTTCGAAAAGAGAGTCAAATAATGATGAAACTTTCTACACAGTTTAGTGTCATTAATGTCTCGATCGAGTTCGAAGATGAGCCTGATTGGAAGAGCTCTTCCTGACTTATTACAAAAATACTGATTTTTCACTATCGTCAGTTATGCGAAAATCGACCTATACCTAGGGGTGTCACATTTAAATTTAAAAAAATTTATTAAATCGAGAAATAAATTTTCAAAAATTTAAATTTAAAATAAATNATCCATCCAAACAATTTATTAAATTTAAAATTTAAATTTAAAAAAATTTAATAAATCGAGAAATAAATTTTCAAAAAGTTACTTTAAATTAAATTTAACTTTTAAAAATTTAAATTTTATTTAAATTTAAATTTTTGCATCAGAAGAATTTAAATTAATTTTAAATTTAACTTGATAGAATTTTATTTAAAATTAAATTAACTTTTCACGAAGTTAAATTTAAATTAAATAAAATGTAAATTGACACCCCTACCTATACCCGCTTTTATAAAAAAAAAAAACTTTTCCTATCATAGTCAAAATAAAACCCCAACTATTATATACTATTCGATAGAGAATTGCACGAACTACAAAATAGTATATAGACCATTAAAGATTCGAGCTCAATTTTTTTGGGTCAAGCGAAGAGTTTTTTGAGGAAATAGCAATATTTTATAAAGGTTGGCAAATTCAAATTGGGGCCGAGAAATCTGAATCTGAACTCAGATTTTGAAAATACTGAATATATTTTTTTTGGATGAGGAATCGCTTTTTCACTTTTTGAAATACATATAACACTCGAATTTAAATTTCGAGGTTTCCGCATTTATTATCTATCTGCATGAACAGGAGGTTTCCATCCTTAGGTAGTATCAACAACGAGATAACGTTTCCTTTACATTCATCTTAAGCCCATGCATAAAGAACTAATAGATTAGAATAATCTTCAAAGGTCTTGTTCTCTTGTTGAAATTTTTGTGACACTTCTAGTTTTAGTGAGATTATCCTATAGGAAATTAGTTTTCAAGTAAAAACGTATCCCAAATTTCATTCCAAGTATTTCTCAACATTATAGTCTTGCTGTCACTTGCTTATATACTAAGTTTCAATACTCATGAAGTTAATGTATGATGCATGTAATTACTGCTCTGAGGAAAATAAAGATGTACAGACTTTTCAGGCTTTTTTTCAGAGTTTCGCGTTTTACTTGATAATAGAAACCTTGAAAAACGATTCGAAACATGTAAAAGATCTTTTTTCGAGAGATTTAAAAATGATTTTTCTTGTACGGAGCCCTCTTCAGGAGTTTCGCTGTAAGGTAAAAGTAAGAATCCGTTAAAGATCTAAGTGTTTTGGATGTTCTTATTTGTGTTTCACATTGCACTTGGCATGTTCTACCAAATGGTGAAACTCCAGAAAGAAGGATTTGAGAAACTGTTATTGGATTATAATCATTTGATAGAACGCATCGCTAACGTTGCCTACGTCAAGTTACATCAATGCTGAATATTGAGTCACTGACACATAGATCTTTCAAAATATGTATGGAATAGATCGTACATATTCATAGAACTGTATCTTCTTTTGTAAAATTTGCATTTCAAAGATGGAGTATCTAAAATTCATAAGACTCTGTATATGAGTTATTTATAGTAAGCTCTTCATGTTGACAAAGTTTTACATTGAAATTGAAAATACGATTTCATTCAAAACCTATCATCATACAGAAATAAGTCACTAAAAACTAGAACGTTCGGCCAAATCTTAACAAGAGCATAAACCATTTGGCGATTGTTCTATTATAATAATTCTTTACATCTGGATACAAAATGAATGTAAGCAGAGAAAATCACTAGAAAATATTACCTTGTAAGCTCTTGTGGTATTGTTCCAGTATCATGGTAATTTTCATTCCTATCAAAAAAAGTCTTGGGAAATTCTGTGTCAAATTAGTAACAATCATTATGTATTGTGATTTTTCTCTTCACAGTTGGCGTCCTTAATAAGAGTTGCCTTGACGTTTAAGAGAGTTTCACGTATAAAAACGCTGTTCAGAATTGTATTCTTCTAGCATTTAAAAAAGTTTGACCATACTAGAAATTATATATGATGCCGCAAAGAAAAAAGTGCTGAAGAGAATTTGAATAGAAGAATTTTCTTGCACTAGGTTTTGGAGAAGGATATTATTAGGATATTTTCTTCATAGTAAATAGTTTTAATTGCATGGTAGCTACTTTTGTGATGTTTACAAGATTCAATCTTGTAGGTCTCGGAAAAACCTATTTCTCCCGACACTCTAGTGTCCAAATCCTATGATGAAGTTAATAACTATAAAACGTTCTTTCCAAAAAGGAAAATGAGCACACGGGCCTGACAAAAGAACGATTTTGTTTTCTTATACCCTCATCATACCAGAAAACAATGATGCCTTAGCATAAATAATCTTTTAGCATGTGCTCGGTATCACTTTGAGTGGGGTTGGTATGTACATGGATCTATCCTTTATTCACGTCCATACACACACTCCACAGCCACACGCTGTTGGTTATTTAAGTTGATTTTTGGGAATCGTTGGGTATACTGCTTGATTTCGGTAGAGTATGTAATGCTAAACCCTCCTGTATAGTAGTGGTGAGCCGTCTTCTTTTTTTCGGATATCCGAAGTATCCATTTCTCGGAATAGTCAGCGGTCTTTTCTTTCAAAATTCAGTTTGCATATAAAATGTCTGCAAACCTGCAATTTGATAATACTTCAAAATTTTCTTATGAGAGAATACCAAAAACAAAATAGCTTTTATCAAGCGAATAAACTAGTAAAATTTATATAAGATTTAGACAAAGATGCTCAGAAAAAGGTATGAATAATTTTACTAGAGTCGTTTTTTCTGTGTGGCAGGCTTCGAACCTCGACAGGGACCACCGTTTTAGTAAGTCAACAAAGGCATCTAAAAGTTCAATTTCAAATTCTTACCAGATACGATGCAGATCCTTCAGGAATTCATTTCCTTTTTCAAACGAAACAAATAAATCCGGAAAAAATCATGTAATCACGATATTTCAAGATACTCAGTAAATAGCTATTGTATTTTAAATCAGGAATCATCAAGAAAACTGATAATTCGCTAAAAGCCCTTGTAACAATGTCATTTCAGCAGAGTGGCACTATTCAAAACACTGCTTATGAGAAACTTTAGTAAACAACAAACTTATTGAACCGAGAATGATTCTTTCTAGGGGACTACCGTTGTGTTGCTTTTTAGACTAAGCTTCAAAAATTAACGAAATAGTCTCACAGAAAACCATATCAGACCTTGTCTGAAACCTTTTCGATCATTTGAAAATCCTCTCTCTTGTTTCTCTAACACCTTTACAAGGAATGTTGATCGAATTCTAAGAGAATCCTGTATTCATTGTTTAGAAAAAAAACCTAGTTAGGCACCCTAATAAATCGTAGACAGAATCTTGTGTAACTATAGAAAGTTTTGGAAACAGAAGTTATCAGAAATTGAGGCAATCTTTGGAAGAAAATTTGGCAAGATCTTTGAGATTCAGGATTCAAAAGGGACGAACATATACGCGGCCAGGGTCAATTCTTTATTCGTCCAGTTTGTCGGCTCACTAATAGCAAGCCGTCTGACAATGATAGAAGAAAATTTGAATATGTACATGTTGAGGTGGAATATGAAGGTCAATACCGGAAAGAGAAACAGCACATTCCCAAATATTGAATGGTACTTTCAGCAACCTGAGTAATCGAATCATTGAGACTAGAAAGGCGCTCTCTTCTGTCATAATACTCGTCAACAAGAGTAAACCATGCGCAAATTTTGAATTTACTACGTTTCTCGTAATAGAAATCAGCATTGCAATGCAATATAACCGATATAATCTGAAAATTGCTTTTATGGCCAATATTAGTACCACTATTTTTAATGCTCTCGTAATGACCATTCTGTGCTTTGCTGATTTTCCAGTGATGCCACAAAAGTTTAACAGATGGTGGCTTGCAGCCTGTTCTAATACTGCTTTCGCCCCACTTACCATAATATAGTGGTTTTGTAAGAATCATACTTGAAGTCCAAGGTGTAACCAATACTGATGCATGCATTTATGATTGTATTCAAATTTTATATACAGTTAACAATTTTCTAATTTGTATGAATTACTCGCAGCAGATATTTTCATGAAAGTTCGACGAATAGTACAAGCATGAAAGACCAGGGTATTCTATTTGATACATAAATAAATGGTGATTGCTAACGTCATTGACGAGCTGTGAAGATAAGGATGTGAAATAGTCTGTGTCCTCTCCACTCACCAACAATTGAAAATTATAGTTATTATTCTACAGTAAACCGAGCAAGAATTTTTGAGTTTTCAATATTCTTGCGAGATATTTTCTAACATATCTTCTTCGCCGCAATGTTGGAGTTCTTGCGTGGACTCTACAGATATTATCATTGAAAGTGAAATTAATGAGCTCTATATCTTCTAACTTGCTTTGACAAAATTGGGTAACTTGGAAAATATTCGCTTTTCTAGTCGGTAATGCATAAATTTGCGAAGAATTGGTTCTTCTTTTTTATGGTGAATATTTTTCTAATTATCTTCATTGCAAGATGTTATCGAACTAATTCTACATTGGCAAGAAATGGCAATGACGATTTACAAAAATGTCTTTCATCGTTATTGCCATCGTCAATACGTACCATTTATCCATGTAGCACTTTAGCGAATCAACATAGTTCTCAATATCAATGTGAGCATTTTAATATTGATCAACTGTCGTGTATTCGTGGAGGTCGAATTTCTCATTTTCCTGCTGTTATTGTTTATGCAATGAATAGTAACGACGTACAAAACGTGGTAAGATGTGCAACAAAATTAAATTACATTGTCAATGCAAGAAGTGGGGGTCATAGCTATGAAGGCTATAGTTTAGGTTCAACGTATAACAATATTGTTATTAACATGGAATCAATTAATTACATTCATATCAACCAGCATGATGGAACTGGCACGTTTGGGGCTGGTGCAAGACTTGGTCCAATCTATTACAGAACATATCAATATAATTATACAATTAATGCTGGAAGATGTCCATGGGTGGGGCTCGCTGGTCATGCACTTGGGGGTGGTCACGGTGTTCTTAGTCGATTACATGGATTATTATCAGATAATATTTTGGAAATGAAAGCCGTTAATGCTCAAGGTAAATATATTTTACTAACATTATCTTTCCTGAAAATGAACACTATTCGAAACATATCCTACATGTCACTCGTTGCATATTTTCGTAGTGATCTTAAATATTATATTGGTTTTATATAAACGATTTTTCAATGCTTCAAAATCAGATATCTTATCTTAGACTCCTATTTTCGAGTATTGAAGCGATGCTTTTCTAGCTTCTCAGGAAAATGATATTTTGAGTAGCTAAAAGTGTAGATTTGTAAGTTTTCATTGACAAATGTAGATAAAATATTTCTTATAGGTGAATTAATAACAATAAATAAAACTCACGAAACTGAATTATATTGGGCGTTACGTGGTGCTGGTGGGGGCTTGTTTGTTATTGTCACAGAGTTTAAAATTCGATTAGTTAAATCTCCGTCAATTGCTAGGCGTTTTTCATCTCTATGGTATCCGAATGCAACAAAATTAGTAATGCAACGATATCAATCCATGCTATTTCATTACAAAATACCGAATTTCAGTAATAATTTAGTATTGGAAATGCTTGTGTCGAATACTCATTTAGAAATTTCAATATTTTATTTTGGTATCGAATTCGAAGAATTTAATAAAACTGTATCGATGCTATTGGCAAAGTTGCCAACTCCAAGAAGAACTCATTTCGATGAACAAGATTGGCTAACTTTTGTTTCGAAAGCAGCAGAATATGATGTTGGCAGTCGTGATCTTCAATGGTTGTTACTTGATCGTTTAGCATATCCAACATTTGATTTTAAATCCAAACATTTATTTTATGATCGGCCAATAAGTTCTCCTAATCTTGATAAATTTATCGATGCATTAGCATCAAGCAATGGTCAATCTGTTATGATGTTTGTTCCTTGGGATGGGCATATAAGTACAATTTCAGTTAATGAAACAGCATTTCCGCATCGACATTTTAAATTTGGTATTCAATTCATGATTTATCCTAATAATAAGCAACATGAAAAACAACAAATGAATTGGTTAAAACAAGTATATTTGTCTGTCTACAATGATTCAACAAAACATTCATTTATTAATTACATTGATAGAGATGTACCGAATTGGATGAATGTTTATTATCACATACATCAAAAACGATTACATAATATTCAACATATGTATGATAAGGATAACCGATTTTATTTTGAAAGAACCATACAAGAATCAAACGGGAAGATCAACACATTTCGAACTTTCATCTTGCAAATTTTGCAGTTGTCGTATTCTTTATTGTGTGATTCTTTCTTAATTCATTGATTAAACGTGTCTTATTCCATTCATCATTATGAGCAAAACATTGTTATTTCGAAGTTAAAAGTGTTTTAGACAACGGCAGTGAGAAAATGGCTTTTCTATTTTTCTAAAGATAAAATAAACATGACGAAGATTAGTAACATAGCTTTCGTTTTGATTTCGATTAAATTGGGAAAGATTCAATGAAGAAAGCCTCCCAAAGCCAGAGAAAATCAGCTTTTTGAATTAAGTTTTTACATTAAAATATATTCTCAGTTGAACCTTGTAAGCTATTCAATTAACAATGTAGAGAGGTCGGCAGGGGAACTTCGAATTTTCCTAGTCTCACTCTCACTAATTTTTTTCGTCTGTTATGGTGTTCTACTAGGAAACTTTCTTGGCAAACACTTAACAGATTATACTATTTTAGTAAACCGAATGCACTATGCAAAAGGAAGCCATCTGTTTCTGCTGACGGGGTACTGTTCTTGACTATCTTATTCCTTTTGAATTTAAACTCTGCGTAAGGTAGACCCCAGGGCTCCGCGTGGGATGGGACAATCCCATCCCATCCCATGGGACAATTTTTTTCTTCAAATATTCCATGGGATGGGATGGGATGGGATGAATCTCTCGTCCCATGGGATTCTCATCTTTTTTTCTTTTGAGAAAACAGTGTCTTTCTGGTTGAAATAATGGATTCAAAATGCTTTGCAAGAATAATAAATCGTAATATTTCTTATATTTCCATTGTTGGCCTCCTTTTTCAACACAAACGATTTTGTTTCTTAGTTTCTTGTTGTATTCTTTTGTGCAAAAACTTGTAATATTTTTAGTGAAATTTAAATGATGCTTCCTAAAATTAAAATTAGAAAATCTGCGTGCTTTAAGCTACTCAAAGTTGTTGATATCCCCCGTCATAACTATTAATTACCTGGATAATAAGCCGTATTCATGAGTAAGACTGCGACAGCTCCAATTCAGTTTAGTTCACCTGAACTGTTTCCGAACTGTCGTAGTCCTATTCATGAAGACTCTAAATTATTTCTACTTTAATTGACCTTCCAACATAAGTTTAAACTACTTTTAGTTAAAAGAAAAGTCAATGAATATTCAGAAAACTCTGATGAGTTTTACTGGGTCTCAACCACAAGTGACGCGGCGTAAGCGCCGCTGACCCTCTACTGAAAGGATTTTATTAGATTAGCCAGAGAGGTGGTAAACCATCGTATAATATTTGCGAAGTGGACCGAATAACTCTGGTTTAGATTTTCATGCATAGTGAAATTAACTGAAAAATTCGACGACATTACTGATTCAGGAAATTCCAGTCTTTTAAGCAATTGAAATAGTTTTCACATCACATCGTATGATCGATTCGGTACACAAGAGTGTACCTGAGGCATAGTAAGATCACAACAGAAATCG